AGTAAGTGTTCTCAAAACATCATGCACAAGCTATTCCTTACCTGCAGCCTAATAATAAATGGACAGATGAAAAACATTTGCATTTCTCAATTGCCATCATCATTTATAATACTGTACACACACTAAATGTAAAAGATTGGGAATAACATAGAAAAAATACATGAATGCTTTGGCCAGGCTGACATGCTATATAGGGAGAGGGAGAGACGGGGGAGGGGGATTTACTTTGAAACTTACCTGTGGGATCAGTGGGGTAACCGAGACCTGCCTGTGGGATCAGAGGGGTAACTGAGACCTGCCTGTGGGATCAGAGGGGTAACTGAGACCTGCCTGTGGGATCAGAGGGGTAACTGAGACCTGCCTGTGGGATCAGAGGGGTAACTGAGACCTGCCTGTGGGATCAGAGGGGTAACTGAGACCTGCCTGTGGGATCAGAGGGGTAACTGAGACCTGCCTGTGGGATCAGAGGGGTAACTGAGACCTGCCTGTGGGATCAGAGGGGTAACTGAGACCTGCCTGTGGGATCAGAGGGGTAACTGAGACCTGCCTGTGGGATCAGAGGGGTAACTGAGACCTGCCTGTGGGATCAGAGGGGTAACTGAGACCTGCCTGTGGGATCAGAGGGGTAACTGAGACCTGCCTGTGGGATCAGAGGGGTAACTGAGACCTGCCTGTGGGATCAGAGGGGTAACTGAGACCTGCCTGTGGGATCAGAGGGGTAACTTAGACCTGCCTGTGGGATCAGAGGGGTAACTGAGACCTGCCTGTGGGATCAGAGGGGTAACTGAGACCTGCCTGTGGGATCAGAGGGGTAACTTAGACCTGCCTGTGGGATCAGAGGGGTAACTGAGACCTGCCTGTGGGATCAGAGGGGTAACTGAGACCTGCCTGTGGGATCAGAGGGGTAACTTAGACCTGCCTGTGGGATCAGAGGGGTAACTTAGACCTGCCTGTGGGATCAGAGGGGTAACTGAGACCTGCCTGTGTGATCAGAGGGGTAACTGAGACCTGCCTGTGGGATCAGAGGGGTAACTGAGACCTGCCTGTGTGATCAGAGGGGTAACTGAGACCTGCCTGTGGGATCAGAGGGGTAACTGAGACCTGCCTGTGGGATCAGAGGGGTAACTGAGACCTGCCTGTGGGATCAGAGGGGTAGCTGAGACCTGCCTGTGGGATCAGAGGGGTAACTGAGACCTGCCTGTGGGATCAGAGGGGTAACTGAGACCTGCCTGTGGGATCAGAGGGCTGTCAAGTGATTTCAAAATCACTTGAAAATTAGGAGGAATTTAGAAAAATTACCTCGAGCACTAAGCTGCATGGTGAAAGGAAGTGATGGAGAGAAACGAATAACCACGAGACTTGCCACCATGGAGCAGCCTGTCCTCCCAAGGTTTTCCAACATCAGGAAAATGGTCAATTTAAAGTGTCCTGTCCTAACCTACCAGAGGATCCAAAACAGAAAATGGGACAGTACATCACTTTTGCGAGCTGCTTCCATTTTCCAGTACAACAATTTTGGGCTTTTGTAATGCATACGAGCAAAAGGCGATGTTCTTTGTAAGAGGAATACAGGTGATGTTAACTATCTTGCTGGATCCCTGCAGCATATTCCTCCTCAATCACAAGAGACACATGTGCACATGCCAAGTACAAGGGACTATGTACAACTACAAGTACAAGGGACTATGTACAACTACAAGTACAAGGGACTATGTACAACTACAAGTACAAGGGACTATGTACAACTACAAGTACAAGGGACTATGTACAACTACAAGTACAAGGGACTATGTACAACTACAAGTACAAGGGACTATGTACAACTACAAGTACAAGGGACTATGTACAACTACAAGTACAACAAGGGACTATGTACAACTACAAGTACAAGGGACTATGTACAACTACAAGTACAAGGGACTATGTACAACTACAAGTACAAGGGACTATGTACAACTACAAGTACAAGGGACTATGTACAACTAGTACAACTACAAGTACAAGGGACTATGTACAACTACAAGTACAAGGGACTATGTACAACTACAAGTACAAGGGACTATGTACAACTACAAGTACAAGGGACTATGTACAACTACAAGTACAAGGGACTATGTACTACTACAAGTACAAGGGACTATGTACAACTACAAGTACAAGGGACTATGTACAACTACAAGTACAAGGGACTATGTACTACTACAAGTACAAGGGACTATGTACTACTACAAGTACAAGGGACTATGTACAACTACAAGTACAAGGGACTATGTACAACTACAAGTACAAGGGACTATGTACTACTACAAGTACAAGGGACTATGTACAACTACAAGTACAAGGGACTATGTACAACTACAAGTACAAGGGACTATGTACAACTACAAGTACAAGGGACTATGTACTACTACAAGTACAAGGGACTATGTACAACTACAAGTACAAGGGACTATGTACTACTACAAGTACAAGGGACTATGTACAAAACTACAAGTACAAGGGACTATGTACAACTACAAGTACAAGGGACTATGTACAACTACAAGTACAAGGGACTATGTACAACTACAAGTACAAGGGACTATGTACAACTACAAGTACAAGGGACTATGTACAACTACAAGTACAAGGGACTATGTACAACTACAAGTACAAGGGACTATGTACAACTAGCCAACATCAGTGGCAACAAAGAAAGTGAAGAAGCAATTAGAGGATATGAGAGACACGAGCCAAAACTTGGCAAAATTTATCCAAGGACCAAATGGAGGCAGTCAAAGTGCCAAGATCACCACTAGCAACACTTTACACCTCAGCAAAGGGAAGATTCCAGAGCAATTGAAGATAACAAACATTATACCTATACAGTATTAAAAAGAAAAAAAACAGGCAACAGTCACATACATTCCTGCAGAGTACTAGTGAGGATTTTCAGGAGTCATGTACCAGGATTGTAACTGGATGAGACCCTGGGAGTTCTATTCCCAGGGCCAGGCTTGATTTTTGACAACTTGGTCCAACAGGCTATTACTTGGAACGGCCCGCAGGCCCACATATCCACCACAGCCCTTTGGTCCAGCACTTCTTGCAGAGAAGTGTCCAGTTTTTTCTTGAAGATTTCGACTTTTGTTCTGGCAATATTTCTTATGCAGTACTTGCCAGGAGGACGTTGAACAACCGTGGACCTCTAATGTTCATACAGTGTTCTCCGAGTGTGCCTATGGCACCGCTACTCTTGACTGGTTCTATTCTGCATTTTCTTCCATATCATTCACTCTAGTATGTTGTTATTTTATAGTGTAAATTTGGGATGTGGCCCTCCAGTATATTCCATGTATATACATGAATCATCTAGTGTTCAACTCTTGTCTCTGAACACCAATATAGTTTCAGAGAAAGTAAGTCTTACTAAATGAACCTATTAGTGTGTTATGACAGCAACAGCAATGAAGCAGGACAGCAAAGGCTCGGAAGACTGTTTTCCTGGATTGTCAGAAGGCCTATGATAGTCCCACACAAACTAGTGTATCAAGCAGGGATGACAGGGAGGGTTATCTTGAGATGATTTCGGGGCTTTAGTGTCCTCGCGGCCCGGTCCTCGACCAGGCCTCCACCCCCATGAAGCAGCCCGTGACAGCTGACTAACACCCAGGTACTTATTTTACTGCTAGGTAACAGGGGCATAGGGGTGAAAGAAACTCTGCCCATTGTTTCTCGCCGGCGCCTGGGATCGAACCCAGGACCACAGGATCACAAGTCCAGTGTGCTGTCCGCTCGGCTGACCGGCTCCCCACAAATGGGTGCACAAATGGATTACAGAATACCTCTCAGATGGGGGAAAATAAAGGGTAATGGTTAAGGAAGAGGCCTCAGAGTGGAGGGCAGTCACAACTGGAACACCACAAGGAATCAGTACTGTGTGTACTATTTCTGCTCTATGAAAATTACATAATTGAAGAAGTTAATACATTTACACCAATTTTCGTGGATGATGCAAAAATTTATATAGAGGACCAGAATATAAAAGGATTTTTAAAAGATGCAAGATGACCGGGATAAGCTTCAGAGATGGTCAAAAGAATGGTTACTTGACATCAACCTTGATAAATGCAAGGCAATGAGAAATAGGAAGGGAGAAAGAACACCCATTAGATAATACAAAATAAAAGGATGACAACTTCTTGGAACAGTAAAAAGACAAAACACCCTGAAACTTTATATAAACCAATGGTCTATCTTGAGGTTATCTTGAGATGAATTCAGGGCTTTAGTGTCCCCGCGGCCTGGTCCTCGACCAGGCCTCCACCCCCAGGAAGCAGCCCGTGACAGCTGACCTGACAGCTGACCCAGGTACCTATTTTACTGCTAGGTAACAGGGGCATACGGTGAAAGAAACTCTGCCCATTGTTTCTCGCCGGTGCCTGGGATCAAACCCAGGACAACAGGATCACAAGTCCAGCGTGCTGTCCACTCGGCCGACCGGCTCCACCCTGGTCTGGTACCAGGAACTCACAAAGATAGGGCACCTCTATCATTATCAGCATATTCAAAAATGTCAAATAAAAATAAAATTTAGGGAACCTAGATAAGCAGGCCTTCAGAATAGGGTAGATGACAGGTGATGCACATTCTGGGGTGTGCAGCGCCAGAGAGGAACGTCATCTTAAACACAGTCCAAAAGACTGACCGATTTATCAATTATATATAAGCTGCCATAACAATGAGGTCGGTGTAACCAAATAAAATAAACATTCATTTAATCTTTGGGTTAAGCTTACGAATCTCAGCTTGCTTAAAATGAACAGTCAAGCTGCAGGGAAGAGAGCTCTTCTGTACGATCAGCTCACAACGTTTATCTGTAGAGAATGTAACTTTCTTGGCCAAAAAAGGTGGCCAGGAAAGGACTTATATAACTCACACCTGACCATCCTTCAGTGAAGAGGCATGCAATCCCTCCCTTTGAAAGATTACACACTTAGCACATAAAAGTGAATACTTACGCATCATCAGGGGTTAGTTGAATAGGCTCATCTGTAAATTCTGGTGGGAAGTTTGCCAGATCACGCTCAGAGTCTAGCCTGGGGCGATATGGCGGGGGAACCTGACGCTGCTCCAACTGTAACAACAACAAAGCAAACATACACAACCACTAATTCTCACACACACACAACCTCACAGTTTTGTGCAAGACACCAATTTTGAAAGCAATTTTCAGCACATAATACAGTACTAAGCAGAGGCAGCCTAGTAACTGTAGACTACTGTATAGTAGCAAAATGCCGCCTTTATATACGAGAGAACTCTGACATAACTATGTATATGAGGAGGCATGTATGTAACCAACCATAAGCTAAGCCCGGTGACACAAGGCATCCTATCACCATCTAGCAGCAAAATACAATGGGAGCCACTTTGCATTACAAAATTATCTGAAACAAATTAGTGATAAGCTAGCTTTACGCCATATACTTCAGCATGTCTGTAAGAAAGAGAAATTAAGACACCATACACTAACCAAAATAAAAACACAATTTTTAGAAGAATACTATGAAGCAGACAGGGGCTGCTATGACATCAACAAGAGCTACCCATTGAAAAATAGGTATTGCTGGAAAATAAGTAAACAAAATTAAGGCATTTAGTATTAGCTTTACACCAAGTTTATACTGGGTTTAATCCATGTAGATGAGACGAGGGTGGGGGTAAAACTTTGATGAGCATGCTGCGTTTTAGTTGACTCTCAAACTTACAATAAGTAAGGCATTTCTCTAAAGGTTCAGAGATATTTCCTCCTTCCACATCAGGTAATTATCTCATTACTGTATTATCACTTTCTTCAACACTTCCGCAATCCCAACATGAAAAGCCAGTAGAGATACAAGCCGTATCTATCACACACTATCAATATCAACAATCTTCAAACAAATTTATATTAAGTAATGAATGTACGGTATAACCATCAGTGGATTGTGCTTCAAGGACTACATACCAGTTAACAAATTAGAAAAAACTTTCTAGATTGCAACAACATTAATTTTTATATCTATACAGCCAAAATACTATGCAATTTTTTTTTATAAATGCCTGAACAGCAGAAAACTGCTTGAATAAAACAACTAGTTCCAGACATCTTCCACTGTATCTGATATTTATTTTTGCCACAGTTAGTGTGTTTGTGAACAATCGAAGTCCCTCAGATGAGCCCTGAGTTGGTCATTATAGCCCACCAAGGACTCTTATCCACTCTAAGCTCTCGTCGACCATCTTCCCCCACCATAATAAATCTTACAAATGAACTTGCCAAGAAAAGTAGGGAAGGAGGAGAGTCCGAGTCTCACTTAAGCCACCACAGAGGGACCAGCCCGGAGTCCGAGTCTCACTTAAGCCACCAGAGGGACCAGCCCGGAGTCCGAGTCTCACTTAAGCCATCACAGAGGGACCAGCGGGCTACCAGACGAAAGAGAAAACAATACCCTCAATACTGCTTGCAAGTGATAATTAGCAAGACAACGAGAGTCAATTATTGCTCCGATAATTACCCATTAAGGAACTAAGCTATTCCTATCAAAGTGGTCAGGACTGAATCCCAAAAGAACCGAATTCTTGGAAATCAGTCCATCAAGCGGACCATAACTGGGAAAGTTAGTCCTTTCTCATGGCGGGATTGAAATGGGGATCAACGATACATTTTAAAACCCTTCCTTGATCCTTTTAATTTTTTTTTTAATTTTGATAAACTAGAAGAGTAATGCGTAAAATTTACAAATACAAAATGAGTACTGTATTTCCAAAATGAGGCCTAAATGACAGCCATTTTGAAATGTTGTCTTCTTGAAGGAAAATCAAGGCATTCAACTTGTTACATATATTTTTCCAAGTTTCATTATATTAATTTTGTATTATTTGGAATTTAACTTTAATTTACTAAAATTAAATATTAATGCTTTCTGGTGTCTTCAATTACACATTTCATTTCAAATAAATATTTCACACATTTAAGGCAAGGACCAAGGGCCAAGTTAGTCATGGTTCCTTTCTTCCAAAAGAATCGTGATCAGGACCATCAGCCCATTTTGAGACAAGGACCTGGACCACTGGTCCATTTTGAGACAAGGACCTGGACTATTGGTCCATTTTGAGACAAGGACCTGGACCACTGGTCCATTTTGAGACAAGGACCTGGACTATTGGTCCATTTTGAGACAAGGACCTGGACCACTGGTCCATTTTGAGACAAGGACCTGGACTATTGGTCCATTTTGAGACAAGGACCTGGACCACTGGTCCATTTTGAGACAAGGACCTGGACTATTGGTCCATTTTGAGGCAAGGACCTGGATGAGGACTGTTGGTCCAATTTGAGGCAAGGACCTGGACTGGGATTATCAGTCCATATTGAGAGACAGGTGTCCACCTTTGCCCCTCCAACCACCCGCCATCAGTGACGGAAGTGGCTGGTGCGAGGAGACTTTATACAGGTGTATGCTGTATACCTACGTCTCCATTTCCAGGTTTCTGTTCAATTTCTATACTAGTGGAAACATTTATTAGCTATCCAGTTGTCAAGTTTCTACCAATTAAAATTGCTTGTTAGTCAGAATTATGGATGAACCCCCGCATGATCCTCCAGCATAAAGGCTGGATACAACTTCTTCATACACAGTACCTAGTTCCCAAAAACAGCATTTTTAAAAGCCATGTCCATCACTGCCTGCCACCTTTACAGTGTTAGAGGACCTGGAAACTTTATGCATAGCATCCACAATTTTTTCCTTGGCTCTGTGGTGACATTTTTTTTTAGCTAGTTTTTTCTACTGACTTTTTTTCACAAAATGTTCAGGAGTCACATTTTACAGTTTGCTTTACAGTGTGTATAACCGTTGTATTCATCACTATGACGATGAAAGGTTGATGCACAAATGACAGATTTAAGAGGCATTATTTGCATTTGTTTATTTCACATGGATTGCCCGACACTTTAAAAACATTTCTAATCAAAAGAAATCAGCATGAAAACATGCTAAAGATTCAGCCACAAGGTGCAGCATGTAGTATTAATGATAATTATGTAAGATCACACAGGAACATTTACAAGATTAATATGTTAAGATTTTCTGAAGTTATGAGTGTGGTCTCAAGACAGGAAGACAACAGCAAGCAGGTTAACTCCTCATCTGTAAGACTTACTCAAGCTAAATAAGGGATAGAAGGAAGGCAAAACAGTTGTTTAGGCAAGAGCACAGCCACCAGAGTCGCTAATTAAATAGCACTCGGCACTAGTGTACAAACTACACTCCATTTCCAGCACTGCATATCAAGCTTGAAAAGCAGTTCAACATTAGATTGTGAATGTGTCCAACTAGTGTACTAGAGCAAACTAGCATGAACACTACTTTAAATTTGTACCAGTTGACTGACAGTTCAGAGGCGGGACCAAAGAGTCAAAGCTCAACCCCCCGCAAGCACAACTAGGTGAGTATTTGACACCCGCACAATCATTCTCCTGCCCTCTGACACCCTCCTGCCAGCCTGGCCACGAGCACAACCCAGGGTGTGGGTGGGAGCAGGGATGGGAAAAGCTCGGTGTTGGACTTACTGATCATCTGCAGTAAACTGTACAGGTTCAGCTGTAAACTGAGGATCAAAGTTTTCGAGATCTCTCTCTCCATCTACACGTGGCTTGAATGGTGGCAGGATCTGTTTTCTGTCCAGCTGAAAATAACCATTCCACTGGTTGAAAAAACTAATAACAAATTATTTAAGTGAAGAAGCATTTGTCAGCAGCAGCAGCAGCAGCATTTGTGAGCTGTTGCTGACAAATGTAGTCAGCAGCAGCTAACATTTAGAGGAACAACATTCTAAAATAATTAAAATTAAGTTAATACAAAGCCAACAAATTAAGCAATTTGACTACACTGTATATATAATTGTCTGCCTGATAAAATACAAAACATCCCCATGAAAGTGAAATTCATTGATGCAAAAATATAAATATTTTGAGAAACTAGAAATGCACTAGAATGCTTTGCAATACAAAACAATAGCAGCAGCAAGAATAACAACATTAGGAAAACAACAAGGGACACAAGTGAAGAGCCACGACAGAAACACTTTCAAGCAACTACATCAACTGTACTTTTGTTAAACAGTATTATCATGGGACTTAATGTACTTCTCCAAGTTGACCCTTCCAGGATGGGTTCAGCATTAGCAGTCCAACCTGTCCTCTTAAAAAGAACGTCGCTTTTGGCCGTTTGCCCATATGGCCGAATATGGACGTAATTTGAAAATGAAAAAAAAAAATGAAAATAAATTTGGGATTTTTTTTTCAACAACAGTAAGTCAAGGGTCCTCTGATAGGTTAGGTGGGCAGGAAATTCTTATAAAGTTTCAAAACGGTATGAAAAACGTTAATGGAAAGTTGCCTCTTCTAAGCTTGCCGAGTCAGCGGGACGACTCAAACAAAAAACGGGACAGTACGTCACTTTTGTGAGTCCATTTCATTTCAAATTACGTCCAAATTTGGCCATAGCGCGCATACGAGCCAAAAATGACGTTATTTTTAAGAGGACAGGTTGAGCATTGCACCAAAGTTCCTCATCCTGATTCCTATACAACTTTGTATTCTTATAAAGTCAAACATCAAATATCATTCTTTCCACTATCACTATTACATGGTACATCACATCTCTGACTTTTATAACGATGTGTATTCTACACTTCCATACAGAAAAATGACTGTACCTTTCTGTATACCACAGGCATTATCAAGCTTAACTCTTAACCCTTAGACCGAGCATATTACAGCGAATTTAGGGGGCATAACAGCGAAAATTATTTGAATTCTGTAAAAACTTAAAAATGTTAAGCAAATCTCCAACTTATTGGCTTCAGTGTCGTGAGACTTTCATAAAAATATTTTCAGAAATTGATTTTAGACGAATTTTTGAAAAATAAGAACATTTTGTTGATAAGAAGTACAGCTTCTAATAACTGGAACTGAAGGATTATGCAGTAATAAAGAGATGCAAGCATCTGTCTGACGCTCTAAGAAGAAAAAGAATAGTAGTAAGAAGTGACCACAAAGTGGATATGCAGTTGGTGCCTTTATATCATTGCCAAGTAATACATAATAACACAAAACATATTGAATAACTATGTTACTGTAATATGATCTATTTTTGTTATATATCATATAAATACATTTTCCAATGTTAATATATTTTACTTTCATCAATGTCCCAAAAATATTTTTTAGGAGAATTTTTTGTTTTTAAAGATTTTAGTTATTTTTTCCTCCTTTGTTTATTATCTGATTTTGTTTTAACCTTTACATCCTGGAGAATACATATATTTTCATAACTATGTGAAGATAGAATTAAATTGGTCAACAAATAAATCAGTCACAACTCTCAGAACTTGGGACTGGATATTTTTGGGCTGATTTTTTCACAGATTTCAAACTCTCTTGTTCTTGTTTCTTTAGGTTGTTTTGATGATTAGGGACCAGATTAGGGCTTTTTGACTTGTATAAAGGATACCCTAAATATTTCCCCTAAATCATAATAATTATTATAATTATCATTATATTTTGTTTTGGGCGGTTATTATTTCTTGACTTTAACACATATTAACCTACAACTTTCACATATTTGAGTACGAATCCCAAAACACGTTTATTACAACATACAAGTAAATTCATGAATTAGAACTGCCTAATTCATTGTCGATAATTTCAAGTTCAATTATATCTATACCCGGAGTTTCAACTTCAGTATCCAAAAACCTAGTGTCTGACAGATTCTCACCATTTTTACATATAGTATGCACAGCTGTCTGTTCTACAATCCCTATAGATTTGATTTTTCATAAACTCTAAACATTTGGAGTTATAAATTTTTGTTGTCTAAATTTGTGCATATTTCAAATGCCATCTTCTTGAGATGATTGATTTTGATTGATTGACATAGACAATTTTTTTTTACAGTAAACTATACTGAAAACCTATATTCTAAATATATATAAAAAGTGAAGATCATATGCTATTCTGAGAGCATAATAACACCATATGAACAGTTGGTGATATTTTATGTTTGCAGCTGATTTCAAAATCTGAAGTTTTCAATATTCAATTTCATAATTATTTTTTATTTTCCTGTGTTTCAAGTTACACTGGTATCATTTAGACAAAGTTGGAGCATTTTCCTAGTAGATTATGCACAAAACATTTGAAAGATTTTCAGAAAATTTAAAAAACTGAGCTCAATGTCACACATCACATGACATTTTACGCAGTCTAAATCTTGAATTTCTCTCTTATTCCATATTGCTGTCTCATTCATGAGTCAAAGCTGAATAAAGGACTATATTCATGGTCAAACTACCTCAAGAACTCCCCCCCCCCCCACCTCTCTTCCTGTCTTCATCCCACTTTGCCAAAAGCTTTATTTTTATTCATAAAAATGATGCTCATAATTTAACTAGCCTCAATTTTTTTTCACCAAGTCTTCACAGAATATTTACATTCTACACTGTCATTAACTCTTCCTACACCACCTTGCTTTTCATTTACTCTATGTTACTAAATCCTTCAAATTTTCTATCATTCTTTCAAACCCCTTTCTTAACTCACTCAAGCCCAAATGCCATATTATTTTCAGTCATCTTCACCACCAGAACTCTTGAACGAGATTAAGGAAAGGGAATATTTTGTGACATTTACAAGCCATACAATGGTTCTGGAAGCATTTCAATGAGGGAATCTTGAGACGTCGCAGAGTCTCGAGACAAACAATTCACCTGCATCAGGAGTCTAACTGTTGAGATCACACAGACATTGGCGAGACATCAATAGTTATTTTAGGAGGAATTATGGCTGATCAGAACCTTACTATCTTCAGGTAAAGAGTTTTCTTCTACCGTATCTTTTCTTTTCACGAATGCTTGTGTCTACAGAAGATACTTAAGACTTATAATCTTGAGACCTACTCCATAGCTATTAATAGATGCAATCCTTCTGATATTCTAGTTTTCTGTTGAATGAAAGTGGCTTCAATCACCACTTCTTCCAGCTTATTCTACTTACTTACTATCTTCACAACAGTAAGAAGTGTCTCATATCTCCGACTCATTTGTGTTTTCAATCCACCTGTGCCTCTCTGCTTTAGTTTCCCTTACCTGGAAAAAATAAAGACTATCTCTGACCACTTCATCTACTCTCCTAGAGCTTATCATGACCTCGTGCCACTTTAGAATAAAGTGGTCCCTTGATTTTTGTCTTCACTGTATTTCCATGAACTGATGTTCTTGGCGATCCTCAAGGAACCTGGTAAGCAAGCTTCATACTTTCTCAAGGGCAAGATTCTTTGTTTTTCAGTCTAGATGTTAGATCTTGGAAATTGCAAGTTCCCTGCCATTATAATATTACTGTAATACTAATAATCATAATCATAATAATAATAGTAATATTAATAGAGAAAATTTGTAGGAGCAGTGACGATAGTTCGAACCTATGCAGTGGGTGTTCCCACACACACGCTTCTAGCGACTGGACCCCCGACATGGTATAAGGATTGCAACCTGGAGTTCTACTGAACCCACAAGGATTTCCTGAGGCTTCTACTGAAGCTGGACCAGGATTTTCACACAATCCCACCCCACTGCACTCTGGCTCTATCATCTAGGACTTGTTCTACCTCTGATGCTCCTCTTTCAATACACAGAGTAATTACACTAACGTGACTGCATATAATCTGTAGGATTTCACTATAAGTGTGTGAGAACACCCACCGCATAGGTTAAAACCCTCATCACTGCTCCTACAGAGGTTCTCATTGATGCAGTCATGTTAATGTGATTACTCTGTTGTTATAATAATAATAATAATAATAATAATAATAATAATAATAATAATAATAATAATACAATATTATACCAGGATACAGTATTAAAATAAATTGCTAACAAAGACTTATCATAAGGATTACAGACAAAAATCAGACGGGTTTATCACGTAAGAGATAGTATTACATCACAAATTTAAATGAACAATTTATGGAAACCTTTTTGGAAACAAAAATGATCCAGAAGCAGACTAGACAAGTAAGTGTAAAAAACTGAGATTTCAAAAAACAAAACATTTCCCATGACTTAATCAAAGTGGAACTCATCTTGCATTTACACTAGGGGTTAGCTCTTATTATAGTAACCAAACAAAAAATTATGTTTATGTAATTATTACACACACACCTTCAGCTTTTTACTAAGATTAAATTTAAATAAGTATCTAGTAGTGTGGTAAGTAGGAACTATATTGAGAGTAATCTCAATATAGTAAAGCCCATAGTGGACTTACCTGTGCCAGGTAAGTCCACTTGGGCTCACCATAGCCCGTGCTACTTGAAACTTTTTGCTTCCAGTAGCTGAATCTTAACCCTTAAACTGCGCAACACTTTATTTGAAGTATTGAGTAACTGACGCGAAAGTGCGCACCACTTCATATGACGTTTTGGAGTACCATGCAAGATTTAAAAGTCCTGCGGCTACATGGGGTTCATATCATCATCCTCAGAGCTCTTGTAAACAGACACCATTTTTTTTAAATTGTTGGTAATATTCCTGGGTTTGAGAGCCTCAGTACTGAGTGAGCCACCAAGGCTGGCACACGCAGCATGAGCTCACAGAACTGCTGTTCAGCTTGTGACCACAGCATCGCCTAAAAATGCCATAATATATATGTTCATGCTATTATTTAGCGATGATAGTATTACAGAAGACCACTGACTGTGATAAAAATGACCAGAATTCTGATAATAGCAGGATTGTTGTGATAATTTGCACAGTTCTGTGGGAGGAGTAATGCTGAGGGAGGGAGGACTGTAGCGTCGTCTGCCAAATCTGTGTAATTACCTAGGTGTAGTTACAGGATGAGAGCTATGCTCGTGGTGTCCCATCTTCCCAGCACTCTGTCATATAATGCTTTGAAATTACTGACGGTTTTGGCCTCCACCACCCTCTCACCTAACTTATTCCAACCATCTACCACTCTGTTTACAAAAGTGAATTTTCTTATATTTCTCTGGCAGCTTTAATTCATTAGTTTAAATCTATGACCTCTTGTTCTTGAAGTTCCGGGTCTCGGGGATTCTTCCCTATCAATCGATTCTTCCCTATATTATCGATTCCTGTTACTATTTTGTACGTAGTGATCATATTGCCTCTTTTTCTTCTGTCTTCTAGTTTTGGCATATTTAATGCTTATAACCTCTCCTTGTAGCTCTTGCCCTTCAGTTCTGGGAGCCACTTAGTAGCATGTCTGTGCACCTTTTCCAGTTTGTTGATGTGCTTCTTAAGATATGGGCACCACACAACCGTTGCATATTCCAGCTTCGGTTTAACAAAAGTTGTGAACAATTTCTTTAGTATTTCGCCACTCATGTATTTAAAAGCAATTCTGAAGTTAGAAAGTGTAGCATAGGCTCCTTGCACAATGTTCTTAATGTGGTTCTCAGGTGACAGTTTTCTATCTAGAACCAATGACTAACACCCAGTAAAATAGGTACCTGGGTGTTAGTCAGCCGTCACGGGCTGCTTCCTTGGGGTGGAGGCCTGATCGAGGACCGGGCCACGGGGACACTAAAGCCCCGAAATCATCTCAAGATAACCTCAAGATAAGATAACCCCTAGATCCTTTCTTTGTCAGAATTTTTTAAAGCTTTATCACATAATATATAGGTTGTGTGGGGTCCATGTTCTCCTATTCCACATTCCATAACATGGCATTTATTAACATTAAATTCCATTTGCTAAGTGGCGTTTCATATACTTATTTGGTCCAGATCTTTTTGAAGGGCATGACAATCATCTCGGTTTCTTATCTTCCCTATTATCTTAGCATCATCAGCAAACATGTTCATATAATTCTGTATTCCATCTGGTAGATCGTTTATGTAGACAATGAACATTACCAGTGCAAGAACTGAACCCTGTACTCACCTAATTGTGCTTGCCGGGGTTGAGCTGTGTCTCTTTGGTCCTGCCTCTCAACTGTCAATCAACTGGTGTACAGATTCCTGAGCCTACTGGGCGCTATCATATCTACATTTGAAACTGTGTATGGAGTCAGCCTCCACCACATCACTTCCTAGTGCATTCCATTTATTAACTACTCTGACCCTGAAAAAATTCTAACGTCTCTGTGGCTCATCTCGGTACTAAGTTTCCACCTGTAATTACCTAAGTGTTATTACCTAAGTGTAGTTACAGGATGAGAGCTACGCTCGTGGTGTCCCGTCTTCCCAGCACTCTTTGTCATATAACGCTTTGAAACTACTGGTACTGACGGTCTTGGCCTCCACCACCTTCTCACCTAACTTGTTCCAACCATCTACCACTCTGTTTGCGAAAGTGAATTTTCTTATATTTCTTCGGCATCTGTGTTTAGCTAGTTTATATCTATGACATCTTGTTCTTAAAGTTCCAGGTCTCAGGAAATCTTCCCTATCGATTTTATCAATTCCGGTTACTATTTTGTATGTAGTGATCATATCACCTCTTTTTCTTCTGTCTTCTAGTTTTGGCATATTTAATGCCTCTAACCTCTCCTCGTAGCTCTTGCCCTTCAGTTCTGGGAGCCACTTAGTAGCATGTCTGTGCACCTTTTCCAGTTTGTTGATGTGCTTCTTAAGATATGGGCATTTGTGACCTGTGTCCCCCTTGTTCATGTCCCACCCGTGTTGAAGAGTTTGTCTTTGTCCACCCTGTCAATTCCCCTGAAAATTTTGTAGGTGGTTATCATGTCTCCCCTTACTCCCCTGTGGTACTCCACTTGTGACATTCCTCCACTCCGTTACATTGCCTCTGATTACGACCCTCATTTTTCTATCAGTTAGGAAATTTTTCATCCATGTTAGAAGCTTACCTGTCACCCCCTCCAATATGTTCCAGTTTCCAGAACAACCTCTTATGTGGAACTCTGTCAAAAGGTGTGGCCACCTGTTACTGTCTGCACTTACAATACAAGCTTATTGGTTCACTATGGTAAACAGAAATGTAGATACTTGTATATAATACCTGGTTGATACCTGGTTGATGGGGTTCTGGGAGTTCTACTCCCCAAGCCCGGCCCGAAGCCAAGCTTGACTTGTGAGAGTTTGGTCTACTAGGCTGTTGCTTGGAGCGGCCCGCAGGCCCACATACCACCACAGCCCAGTTGGTCTGGCACTCCTTGGAGGAAACAATCTAGTTTCCTCTTGAAGATGTCCACGGTTGTTCCAACAATATTCCTAATGCTCGCTGGGAGGGTGTTGAACAACCGTGAACCTCTGATGCTTAAAAGTTTTCACACAAAATTAATGTGTGTATATAGTGCAATAACACCACAAACAGTATACTTACATATAGTATAAGGAATGTTAGTGCATCTGGCCTTGAACCAGTGAGGGAGGGAGGGAGGGAGCATCAGTTGTGTGTGGCCACCTGTGTATATAGTGTAATAATCTGTGTATACCTGTATATTTATGTAACGTGTATATAGTGTAATAACAGCAAAACTATTTGTTTATTGTTTTATGAACAAAATGATGCGCGCATTCGAGCTCTCTGCTCTCGCCCCACATTTGCCCTCTCGATACCCAGCCTTGCTCAAGCTCTCTACTCTCGGCTCCAAGCCTTGCACAAGCATCCTCATCTCAGCTACCAGGACATATTACATTTCCAGCATCCGACAGCTGTAACCAAGGTTACATTAAACATCAAAAACCACTATAATCTTCATCTAGTCACCCAAAATCATAAACATTACACTATAAACTAGATTTCTTTAGAAAAAGGAAGCATTGAAATAAAAGACCTTTCATAAAGTGTAGTACAGTATACACACACACCAGTTGTCACTTACCATCTCCCAGATTATACACACCAGTTGTCACTTACCATCTCCCAGATTATACACACCAGTTGTCACTTACCATCTCCCAGATTATACACACCAGTTGTCACTTACCATCTCCCAGATTATACACACCAGTTGTCACTTACCATCTCCCAGATTATACACACCAGTTGTCACTTACCATCTCCCAGATTATACACACCAGTTGTCCCTTACCATCTCCCAGATTATACACACCAGTTGTCACTTACCATCTCCCAGATTATACACACCAGTTGTCCCTTACCATCTCCCAGATTATACACACCAGTTGTCACTTACCATCTCCCAGATTATACACACCAGTTGTCACTTACCATCTCCCAGATTATACACACCAGTTGTCACTTACCATCTCCCAGATTATACACACCAGTTGTCACTTACCATCTCCCAGATTATACACACCAGTTGTCACTTACCATCTCCCAGATTATAGTCTTGAAGAATGGATGTGAAACAATATCTGTGAAGCCAGTTTCTGGGTGACATCCTAGTCGATCCACTGGGTTTTTATTGAGGAAGCCCTTAAGTATCGAGGCAGCTTTAACGGACAATGATCGAGGAACACGGATAGTACGCTCCAAGATCACTGAAAATTGAAAACGAGATCCTTAGCTGGTACAAAAGACATTTTTTCACACATATCTTAACATATCATTTCTTCCTTTCTATAAGGAATAGATGCATATAGAATAACCCCTCTTCCTCCTCCCCCCCCCCCGCTCCAAGATCACTGAAAATTGAAAACGAGATCCTTAGCTGGTACAAAAGACATTTTTTCACACGTATTTAAGCTGTCTACAGGTGTTGTAGACTCTTGGATGAAGAATAACATCTGCTGAAAAATTCTAAACAGAGATGAACATTATTTATTCAAAATTAGTTAATATCAATGGTTCGGACAGCACACAAATGGCCGCCGCAGAAAGCAGAGCTTCATTATGTTCAGAGCTACAGTTTTACCCAATTTAACCAATAGAAGAAAAGAGTCTTACAAACTTTAATAAAACCAATTAAGTCAAACTATTTGCCTGGCATAGAAGTAATTCACAATAAATTAAGAGCAATCCGCTCACCTTGGAAGAGAAAGTCTTCAGTGTTACAATCAGGGTTGTCAGTTGCTCCCACAATATCAAAGGGACTCTTGCCCGCTAGCATTTCGTAAAGTAGAACTCCTAATGCCCACCAGTCAACACTGCAAGAGAAGTCGGGTGCAATTAAAATGTTTCTTAATATGTTTATAAGTTCTGTACTGCACATTTTTATGATTTCATGAGCACCAACTGAATAATGCACACAATATACTATTTATGTTAGAATGCTCTAAATCAGTTACTGGAAGCAAAATACAAATATTAACAGTGGATGAAATGTTTAGAAATGGTTTTAATCTGAAGATGAGTGAAAAGGTTCATATTGGTATTTGAACAAAATTGTAAAGTATTTATAACAAAAAATATTGTGTAATTACTCAAGAGTAGTTACGGGATGAGAGCTACGCTCTTGGTGTCCCTTCTTCCCAGCAATCTGTGTCATAACGCTTTGAAATTACTGACGATTTTGGCCTTCACCACCTTCTCACCTAACTTGTTCCAACTGTCTACCATTCTGTTTACATAAGTGAATTTTCTTATATTTCTTCGGCAGCCTTGCTTAGTTAGTTTAAATCTATGACCTCTTGAAGTTCCAGGTCTCAGGAATTCTTCCCTATCAATTTTAGCGATTCCTGTTATTATTCTGTACGTAGTGATCATATCTCCTCTTCCATCTTCTAGTTTTGGCATATTTAATGTCTCTAACCTCTCCTCGTAGCTCTTGTCCTTCAGTTCTGGGAGCCATTTAGTTGCATGTCTTTGCACCTTTTCCAGTTTGTTGATGTGCTTCTTAAGATATGGGCACCATACAACCGCTGCATATTCCAGCTTTAGTCTAACAAAGGTTGTGAACAATTTCTTTAGTATTTGCCATCTATGTATTTACAAGCAATTCTGAAGTTAGAAAGTGTAGCTTCTCACAATGTACTTAATGTGGTCCTCAGGTGATAGTTTTCTATTAGAACCACCCCTAGATCTCTTTCTTTATTAGAATTCTTTAAAGATTTCTAACATAATATATAGTTTGTGTGGGGTCTATGTTCTCCTATTTCCCATTCCATAACATGGCATTTATTCAAATTGAATTCCATTGCCAAGTGGTGCTCCGTATACCGTACTTATTTTGTCCAGGTCTTCTTGAAGGGCATGACAATCATCAGGTTTCTTATCTTTCCTATTATCTTAGCATCATCAGCAAACATGTTCATATAATTCTATATTCCATCTGGTAGATCATTTATGTAGACAATGAACATTACTGGTGCAAGAACTGAACCCTGAGGTACTCCACTTGTGACATTTCTCCAGTCTGAGACACTGACTGATTACTACCCTCCTTTTTCTATCAGAAAATTTTTCAGCCATGTTAGAAGCTTACCTGTCCCCCTTCCAATATGTTCCAGTTTCAAGAACAAAATCGTATGTGGAACTCTGTCGAAAGCCTTTTTTAGGTCCAGATAGATGTAGTCAACCCAACCATCTCTTTCCTGTAAAATCTGTGGCTTGATTGAAGAGACTGAGTAAATTCGTTACGCAGGATCTTCCAGATTGAAAACCATACTGACTCTCTGATATTATATCTTTTTCTCCAGGTGTTTTATCCCATTTAATTTTAATTATTTTTTCCAATATTTTGACTTTTACATTTGTCAATGATACAGGTCTATAATTAAGGGGGTCTTCCCTGCTACCACTTTTGTAGATTGGAACTATGTTAGCCTTTTTCCACACATCAGCTATGACTCCTGTACACAGGGATGCCTGAAAAATCAGCTGAAGTAGAATGCTGAGCTCAGGTGCACATTCTCTCAGAACCCATGGTGAAACTCCATCAGGGCCAACTGCTTTGTTCTACTTAGCTCAAAGAGCATTATTTCACTTCGTCTCTAGACACCTCTGTGTTCTATGTTGTTCTCTGGAATCCTTATTGTGTCTGGTTCCCTGATAATCTCATTTTGTACAAACTCACTTTGGAACTTACACACAGAAATCACAATAGCGTGATGCATCAAATGAACAAATCCACAAGGGCCGTGACGAGGATTCGAACTTATGTCTGAGAGCATCCCCGACTCTGCCTTAATTGACTGAGCCACGACATTGGGGAAAAAAAAAAAAAAAAAAAAAAAAAAAAAAGTTGAAACTCTTTATTGACATAGCTCGAGTGCCTGGGGGAGTTGTGTAAAACTCTGGTTTGTGTCTTTGAGAGGCTGCAGGATCCAAGTAAGTTCAGTAGAACTTGTGGTTTCAACTCTTTTTTTCCATGTCGTAGCTCAGTCAATTAAGGCAGCGTCTGGGATGCTCTAGGAAGTAGGTTCGAATCCTCGTCACGAACCTTCTGGATTTGTACACTTTGCAACTTTTCGTTTAATGTTTCACACATTTCATTTTCATTTTCCGTGTATCTGTCTCCCATTTTCAACCTCTAAATATTATCCTTTACCTGCAGCTTGCTTTTAATGAATTTATAGAAAAGGCCTGAATCTGATTTACATTTGTCTGCTATACTGTTCTCAAATTTACATTTGTTCTAAAAGTTACTTTCTGCCTCTCTCCTTACTGTTGTGTAGTAGTTTCTCGTATCTTTGTATTGCTGATATGTTTGGGGGTTTGGCCTCTTCCTATAATGATTCCATGCTTGTGTCTTTTGAACTCTGGCCCTCCTTTGCAATTTCTGTTGAACCAACCCTGTTTCCTAGGTCTGCATCTCTGTTTTGGTATGAATGTTTTGCCTTCATCGTATATTTTGCAAAATTTGGCATACATCTCATTTACTTCCTTGTCTAGCAACAAGTCTTTTCAATTATACCCATGAACAAATTTTCTAAGTTCCCCATAGCATTTCCCATTTCCTCTTGAAATCGAGTTTAACAACTGCTTCAATGTCCCCATTCTCTACTAAATTATATCGCAAAGCGTATTTAATGTCCAATAGGCCATGATTACTCTTTCCCAAGGAAGGAAGGTACTGGATGTCAAATACCTCTTCTTCTTTCCTGGTGAATACTAGATCCAATACTGACGGAACATACCCTGCCCTCATTCTTGTGGCTTGCTTGACGTGTTGATACATGAATGTCTCCAAAATGAGGTTTGCAAATCTGCCTGTCCAAATATCCTCCATTCTTGACTCGTAGGCCTCCCAGTCTATTGCCTTAAAGTTGAAGTTACCTAGTACCAACAATCGGGATTTATCTTTGTCTGCTCTTACCATAATCTCTCGCATGACCATTATGAGGCCCTCTCGTTTGTCATCCAGTTCTTTCTTTGTCCATGTGTTGCTTGCTGGTGGGCTGTAGGCATTTAAAATTAGCAGCTTATCATCCTGATTCCAGACCTACAATGCCATTATGTCAATATCTCGAGGGTTTTCAAATATTAACTCTCTTACCTTCAGGTGTTCTTTCACCAGCAGAGCCACTACTACCCTCTTCCTGTCATGTCTCCAAACTGAGTAGCCCCTTGGGAATATGACCTCATTTAAGATATTTTCTTCAAGTTTTGTCTCTGTTAATGTGACAATATTGGAGACTTTGAGCTGAATTATATCCTTCAACTCCAATATTTTCGATCTCACTCCATCTATGTTGGTATATACTATTTACAGGAACATGTTCCCCTTTCCTTTGTTCTTTACATCCCCCTTCCTTTAATGAGTTTGTTGCTTTGAACAAATCCACAAGGGCCGTGACGAGGATTCGAACCTACGTCCAAGATCATCCCAGACGCTGCCTTAATCGACTGTGCTACGACATGGTCAAGTTTGTTGCTTTGTCTTTATGTACCATTTCACTAGCTTTCCAGTCCCCAACACTTTGTAGAAAAAAAGAATTCCTTTCTTCTTCATTTCTATCCTTATGTAAATGTTTTGCTTCAATGAGGTTCATTTTCAGCTTTTCTGTCTTCCTTTGAGAGGTCTTGTCTTACTGACCAAAGTGTGCCATCTTCATTACAATGCAATTTTCTGGCATTTTTAAGCATTTCTGTCATATATTTCACTCCATTAAACATCACTCTTAATGCAGGCGATGAGTCACAATAACGTGGCTAAAGTATGTTGACCAGACCACACACTAGAAGGTGAAGGGACGACGACGTTTCGGTCTGTCCTGGACCATTCTCAAGTCGATTTGGTCCGTCCTGGACCATTCGACTTGAGAATGGTCCAGGACAGACAGAAACGTCGTCGTCCCTTCACCTTCTAGTGTGTGGTCTGGTCAACATCACTCTTAAGGGGCAGTTTTTGTCTCTCATTTTCCTATCCTCCTAAAATCAGACATTTTCCTTTGAGCCTTCTCCTAATCCTACTATTTTTTTTATGATTTTCATCTCTTCTGCTGCTCGGTCCACCCTAGATGAAATTGCCTTCTCTAAACATCCAACACTTCTATCTGCAGTGTTTTGTGTTAGTTTACTATTGGTGACCAGTTCTTTCCTAATTGCTTGCAAAAGTTCCACTTCTTGTTTATCATTTCTTGTTTTGACTTCAAACCTTGATGTCACTTTGACGTACGCATGCGTGTGTGTTTTATATATATAAATAATAAATGAACGTTTGTAAAAATGAACTTTGGAGAGTTAATATTTCAACCTCCTCCTTAAGTGAAGAAGGAACCAGCGTTGAATGTATTGAAACTACATTTTCTCGATGAGTCCCGGAGGCTCCCCGGAGCTATCCAGGCTGATATAGATATGTATAACTTTCTGGCATCAGTCAATGTGCATGGAGGTCTTGCCTACCGGGGACCACGAGCCAGCCCCTCAGAAAGGCATAAGAAGCAATGGCCTATAAAACCCCCCGTGTGGTTGGGAGCATTCTATGTCTGCCATCGACTGGATCTGGCACCCAGAAAGATAGGCACCCCAAACCAAACCCCTATTCTGGTGAAAAATTGCTACCGAAAGCCAAATGAGTGGACAGAACTCCCAAAACGAAAATTAGCAAATGAGCATGATGTCATCACGTCGCCGCGCTGCTGTCTGCACAACCCCCTTCAGTGACTCCTGTCGAGGACCGGGCCGCAGGGACACTAAAAAGCCCCAAAATCATCTCAAGATAACCCCAAGGCACAGAACTGAAAACAAAACAGGAGCCAGAGGCACACGACTTCTCCAGTATCGCATCAGCCAAGAACTGAAGGTTGGATTGCCGGCACGGGGGGTCTGGGGCTCCCCCTTCCCCCTCCCAGGAAGGAGGGGGGTTGCGCAGACAGTGGTGCGGCAACATGATGATGTCATGCTAGTTTGCCAATTTTCATTTCGGAAGTTCTGTCCACTCTTTCAGCTTTCGGTAGCAATTTTTCACCAGAATAGGGGTTTGTTTTTGGGTGCCTACCTTTCTGGGTGCCTGACCCAGTCGATGGCAGACATAGAATGCTCCCAACCACACGGGGGTTTCTATAGGCCATTGCTCGTGCCTCTCTGAGGGGGGCCAGGTTCTGGCTCGTGGTCTCCGGTAGGTAAGAACTCCATGTGCATTGACTGATGCCAGAAAGTTATACATATCCATATCAGCCTGGATAGCTCTGGGGAGCCGACGGGACTCCCCCCAGAAATGTAAGGAAAATAGATAAGATTCATGCTAGATTCACTGATCTTACCTTTTTGATCACATTCAATAACACAGTATATGCCAATCTACCTACCTTGTGTAGCCTACAGGAAAACCTGCTACTAAATAGATTATTATATATACAGTATATTGCGAACAAGCCTGAATGGTCCCCAGGACAATATACAACTGAAAACTTATACAGTATATTATATAAATATATATATGCATATTATAAAACTTGCCTCACCTAAAGCTATATTCTACACCTTGTAAAATCTCTGGTGCAATGTAGTTTGGCGTGCCGCAGAAGGTAGAGGTGGTGTCTCCTGGACGGATACCTTCTTTGCACATACCGTAATCGGTAAGTTTAATGTGCCCTTCATGATCGAGTAAGACGTTATCCAACTTTAGATCCCGATAGATTATACCTGTTAAGATAAAGGAAAATTTAAGCATTTCATAAAGTATCTGTCATATACCATATTGTAAAGTTCATAAATACAGTATACGAGAAGGAATCGCAAAAATAGTAAATTTTTAACTGTACATGTGAATATTCCTTATCACACACACATACCTGAAGGTAAGGTGTGAGATCGAAAAACCTCGAGATATTGACATAATGGCATTGCAGGTCTGAAAACAGGATAAGCTGATAATTTTAAATGCCTACAGCCCACCAGCAAGCAACACATGGACAAAGGAAGAACTGGATGACAAACGAGAGGGCCTCATAATGGTCATGAGAGAGATTATGGTAAGAGCAGACAAAGATAAATCCCGATTGTTGGTACTAGGTAACTTCAACTTTAAGGCAATAGACTGGGAGGCGTACAAGACAAGAACAGAGGACATTTGAACAGGCAGATTTGAAAACCTCATTTTGGAGACATTCATGTATCAACACATCAAGCAGCAGGCGATGAGTCACAATAACGTGGCTAAAGTATGTTGACCAGACCACACACTAGAAGGTGAAGGGACGACGACGTTTCGGTCCGGCCTGGACCATTCTCAAGTCGATCGTGAGAATGATAGCAAGTCTCACAATCGACTTGAAAATGGTCCAGGACAGACCGAAACGTCATTGTCCCTTCACCTTCTAGTGTGTGGTCTGGTCAACATCAAGCAGGCCACAAGAATGACGGAAGGGGATGTTCCGTCAGTATTGGATCTAATATTCAACAGGAAAGAAGAAGAGGCATTTGACATCCAGTACCTTCCTCCCTTGGGAAAGTGATCACGTCCTATTGGACATTAAATTCGCTTTGCGATATAATCTAGTAGAGAATGGGGGACATTGAAGCAGTTGTTAAAACTCAATTTCAAGAGAGGACGCTATAGGGAATCTAGAACAATTTTTCATGGGCATAATTGGACAGACTTGTTGCTAGGCAAGGAAGTAAATGGGACGTATGCCAAATTTTGCGAAATATACGATGAAGGCACAAAAACATTCATACCAAAACAGAGATGCAGGCCTAGGAAAGAGGGTTGGTTCAACAGAAATTGCGAGAGGGCCACAGATTAAAAGACATAAGCATGGAATCATTATAGGAAGAGGCCAAACCCCCAAACATACCAGCAATACAGATACGAGAAACAACTACACATCAGTAAGGAGAGTGGCAGAGAGGAACTTTGAGAACGGTATAGCAGACAAATGTAAATCAGATCCAGGCCTTTTCTATAAATTCATTAAAAGCAAAGTGTGTTTGTACAAAATGAGATCTTCAGAGAACCAGACACAATAAGAATTCCAGAAAACAACATAGCGCACATTGAGGTGTCTAGAGACGAAGTTAAAAAATGATCTTGGAGCTAAGTAAGAACAAAGCAGTTGGCCCAGATGGAGTTTCACCATGGGTTCCAAGAGAATGTGCACCTGAGCTCAACATTCCAATTCAGCTGATTTTTCAGGCATTCCTGTGGACAGGAGACATAGCAGATGTGTGGAAAAGGGTTAACATAGTTCCAATCTACAAAAGTGGTGGCAAGGAAGACCCCCACAATTATATTCCTATATCATTGACAAGTGTAATAGTCAAAATATTGGAAAAAATAATCAAAACTAAATGGGTAAAACACCTGGAGAAAAAGATATACGTAATATCAGAAAGTCGGTATGGTTTTCGATCTGGAAGATCCTGTGTAACGAATTTACTCAGTTTCTATGATTGAGCCACAGAGATATTACAGGAAAGAGATGGTTGGGTTGACTGCATCTATCTGAACCTGAAAAAGGCTTTTGACAGAGTTCCACATAAGAGGTTGTTCTGGAAACTGGAACATATTGGAAGGGTGACAGGTAAGGTTCTATCATGGATGAAAATTTTTCTAACTGATAGAAAAATGAGGGGCAGTAATCGGAGACAATGTATCGGACTGGAGAAATGTGATAAGTGGAGTACCACAGAGTTCAGTTCTTGCACTGGTGATGTTCAATGTTTACATAAATGATCTGCCAGATGGAATACAAAATTATATGAACATGTTTGCTGATGATGCTAAGATAATAGGAAGGAAAGAAACTCAGATGATTGTATTGCCCTTCAAGAAGACCTGGACAAAATAAGTATATGGAGCACCACTTGGCAAATAGAATTTAATGTGCATAAATACCATGTTATGGAATGTGGAATAGGAGAACATAGACCCTACACAACCTATAAATTATGTGGGAAATCTTCAAAGATTTCTGATAAGAGAGATCTAGGGGTGGTTCTAGATTGAAAACTGTCACCTGATTACCACATTAAGAACATTGTGGGAGGGGCTTATGCTACCCTTTCTAACTTCAGAATTCCTTTTAAATACATGGATGGCGATATACTAAAGAAATTGTTCAAGACTTTTGTTAAACCAAAGCTAGAATATGCAGCGTTTGTGTGGTGCCCATATCTTAAGAAGCACATCAACAAACTGGAAAAGGTGCAAAGACATGCAACTAAGTGGCTCCCAGAACTGAATGGCAAGAGCTACAAAGAGAGGTTAGAGGCATTAAATATGCAAAACCTAGAAGCTAGAAGAAAAAAGGCATTATGATTAAGTACAAGATAGTAACGGGAATCGATAAAATTGGTAAGGAAGAATTCCAGAGACCTGGAACTTCAAGAACAAGAGGTTAAAGATTTAAACTAATGAAACAAAGCTGCTAGAGAAATATAAGAAAATTCACTTTTGTAAACAGAGTGGTAGACGGTTGGAACAAGTTAGGTCAGGTGGTGGTGTTTTTTTACTGACCAAATTACTGACCAAAATGGTCAGTAATATCAAAACGTTATATGACAGAGTGCTGGGAAGACAGGACACCACGAGCGTAGCTCTCATCCTGTAACTACACTTAGGTAATTATACACAGTTCTAGGGAAGGCACCGAGAATAGCTATAGTGGTTAAAGCAAGAAAAAGGACAAGAGGTGGCAGTATGAGGCAACTGATGTTCTACAAAGTTGTTAAAAATGGACTAATGAACATCCGCTGCAATGTCCAACTATGCCAATAAGAGATGAAGGGCTAGAACATGGAAATATGCCTGCCAAGCAACAACATATTACTGTCTCAAGAAAGTGTGTGGTTTTATACACACACATTAAAGACCCAAATGAAAAACTAGAATGCCTGCCATACGGGATGGAATTGCCCCGTTCCTCCAGCCTGACACCACTTGGACTGGACAGTTCAGCAACGGTCTCACTTCTTTCATCCGGCGTTCAATCCCTGACTGTCCAAGTGGTTGACCATCATTTCTTTGCTTCGTTCTATCCCAAATCCTTATCCTCATCCCTTACAAGTACTATATGGTTGTAATGGATTAAGGCTTTCTCCTGATAATTATCTTACCTCCTGGTTTATTGTCTCTTAGATAGTCCATTACCCAGTTCAGTGTCTTTTCAACTACTGTTTTTGTGAGCAACAGTAACAAATCTTTAATGAAAGTCAAAGTAAATGCACTTTACCCAACCTTCTTTCATCTGCTGTATGTTATTGACCACATCGTAAAAGTTTGCAGTATTAAGTATGCCCAAGATTTCTTTTACGTGGATACTTAATAGTTACTAATACATGGGACAAGAAAGATAAACAGTGCCAAAATAATTATCCTAACATTCTTAGGAGAAAACTCTCTAGGAGAAGACTCTAACAAGGCATAAATTTATTAATTCTACACATATGATTAATTTTAGTTGTTAATATTTTGAAATAAGATTTGTTTAGATGTTACAAAGTTTCTGTTTAACCAAAGTACAGCTTAAAGACACTATGATGACCAGACCACACACTAGAAGGTGAAAGGATGACGACGTTTCTGTCCGTCCTGGACCATTCTCAAGTCGATTAACTCTATTCTCAAGACTTCTTCAAGAATTTAAAGACACTACTATGTGAATTAAGACAGTGTTTGGTATTACCTATACTCCAGATGGGATATGTTTTTAATTAAATTCTCGTCTGTGTCAATAAGTTAACGAGTGAAATCAGAGTGCAATACCAACAAATTATAGTCACACTATGAAGCAGTGTGTTTATTAACAAAGACTGAAGTCACTGAGGTAAAATAACTTTGTCCTTTGCTCGGTCAATAAGAGCTTTGGTCTCACATGCCTGGGGTCCATGTTTTGACTCTCCTAAAGCCCAGGTGAATGGAATTATTGAGGTAAACTATCACCTCTCAAAAGAGCTCTAGCTGAATAATATGATCATATTAACAAATGCAGGCGATGAGTCACAATAACGTGGCTGAAGTATGTTGACCAGACCACACACTAGAAGTTGAAGGGACGACGACGTTTCGGTCCGTCCTGGACCATTCTCAAGTCGATTGTCAAGTCTTGAGAATGGTCCAGGACGGACCGAAACGTCGTTGTCCCTTCAACTTCTAGTGTGTGGTCGGGTCAACATATTAACAAATGTAAACAAATGCTTTGTAAACAAAGCCTACAAAACATATGAGCATGTAGTGTAGTGTGACAAGATCACATGTTCTGTAAGCTACACCACATTATTGTATATAACTTCAATAAAACATTTACATGTCGCATGATTATCCAATTAAGCATTTAAATTAGCATCCCACCTTTCTCATGAAGAAAATTAAGTGCCAAACATATCTCGGCAGCATAAAATCGGGCATGTTCCTCTGGTAAACGACGTTGCCGTTGCATGTGGAACATCAAATCACCTCCTCGGACAAATTCAATGACGAAGAAAAGTCGGGACGGAGTTTGGAAACAAGAGTGAAGACCCACCAAGAATGGATGGTTGGATGCCGTCTCAAACACATGCTTCTCTGTTTGCACCCAATCTATATCCTAAAATATAAATAATGACAAATTAAACAAATTCAATGGATACTTAAACATACAGGAGGACATAACAGTACAGTATATTAAACATAAAAATAAGAGACAATTTAAACAGTAAACAATTTCCTAATAACATGCAGGAAAAGCTTCTCAGTTTTATCAATTTATAAAATTAAATGCTTAGATGTGATACACAAACACCCGATCTACAGTTAAAACTACAAAAAATGTGCCAACATTCTTAAATATGGCAAAGTAACGACTATCTGATCTTCCTTATGAAGAATGCCAGAATGTACAAAATGTTTCCTAATTTTCTTTCTTTTTCTTTGTATTAGTTCTTATGTCATGTGTTCATCCAACCCGTTCTCAGACCAAGTCTATTCCATTTACAACAAATTGGTAGAATACCGAATGCATTTACAATAATTAAGAACTACTGTATGTACTTTTTATTATCTCATCAATAGAATGATTTATTATTTACTGTGCAACTAATTAAATGGTTTAAACAGCCTGGCCTCGGGCCAGGCTTGGAGAGTAGAAGAACTCCCAGAACCTCATCAAGCAGGTATCAAACATGTTGTACACGTTAACTCAAGATGAATGGAAGGTCTATCATGCATCTTCCACCCAACTTACCAATCCTCCTATGAACCAAACACCTGTTTGCCACAGAGGCGACCCATCTCCCCACAAATTTGGACCGCCAAGTCGGAGAGAATTTAGTTTAGGAAGTTATAGTTACGATGGTGGTCGGTGCAGAACCGTTTATGCACAGGACGCTTTATGTGGACATTTACAGTCAAACAAAATACTATACATAGATACCTCATCATCGGTGACGAGAGTTTTCTTTATGACCTTCATGGCATAAATCCTTTTCGTTTTCTTGAGTTCGACCATTAAAACCTTAGCATATGATCCTCGGCCAATAACACGTATGAGCTCAAAGTCTTCCAAGCAGTACTGTCCTGCCTGGCCAGCAGGGGACATAGGTTCACTACTTTTCCCTGTAAGAGAGTAATATATTTTAAACAATGGCAATATCAGAATAAAAATGTAATTCCTGTATAAATTGTCCACAGTTCATTTATAAACTGTGTATAGTTCCTGTATAATTTCTTTTACAGTTCCTGTTAAAGCAAAAATAAAAGTAAACACAACACATGAGAGTAGAGGGAATTGATGGGGTTTATCTGTGGCCACTGTCAAGATGTTCTACTCCCGCAGCCATGTGGTGATAATACACTAGAACACTCACCTGTGGTGGCTGGCATCTCAACCGGTGTTTCTTCATGTATACCAGGATCTGGAAAGATTATTTAAAATAAGTGTTAAATAGAGAAAAAAAGAATCAATAGAACTATATAGCAAATGAAGAAATCAACCCCACGCCCGACCCTACTGGTCCCCTGGTAGTCTATAGCCTGACCCCTGGAGTCTTTATGATCATACAAAGTTTGGTATATTATTTAGCTGTGCAATAGAGCACTACAGACAAAAGTACATCTTTATTTACTGCACAAGATAGCCATAATGGGGACGGAACAATAAAACAATTACAAATTACCATATTACTGTAATGTTATCAATTGAAATCCAAAATAAATTTCAGAAATCTATAAAGAATTATTGGCAATGAAATATAAGCGGTCATTACATGCTTATTGCAAATGTTATTTCAAGAAAAGTATAATATTCTCAAAATGCTTAAATCCATAGGTTGTTTTACTGGTACAGCCTCACACAAGTGTTGCAGGAATGTAAACAATAATTACCACTCACCCGAGATCTCTCCAGGAAATTCCGGTATAACCCTCTTCCCATTGGTACCTGGCCTGGGGAGTGTCGAGTTCTCGTGGGATGCCAGGGTATCGGTCGAAGTGTCCAAATCTGCATTGCAGGGTACTTTTTGGAGCTTATGGCACTTTTTGTGAACAAGGAGTTTGCACTGTGTGCACTTGAAACCTTGGCGTCCCAGTCCCCATATGCGATCCTTGCAGAATTCGCAAAAGGCCCGCTGAAACAAAAATATTAAAGAGATGAATGGCTTTATACATGTATGGGATTTGCATGGAAATAAGATATTCTTTATAACAGATATAGGTGTATACCTGGTTGATACCTGGTTGATACCTGGTTGATGGGGTTCTGGGAGTTGTTCTACTCCCCAAGCCCGGTCCGAGGCCAGGCTTGACTTGTGAGAGTTTGGTCCACCAGGCTGTTGCTTGGAGCGGCGCAGGCCCACATACCCACCACAGCCCGGTTGGTCCGGAACGTCTTTTAGAAAACAGTCTAGTTATCTCTTGAAGATGTCCACGGTTGTTCCGGCAATATTTCATATAGTATAGAATGTACATATTTCTTATACTATATTTCTTATAGTAAACAAAGTGATAAGTTCATATATTATATTAATAGCACTGTAAAAATAAGATTGGTAATTAAAAATAAAGAAGTGAATTTATGTAAAAGCATTTACGCCTGAAAAACAAAGTAACCATTTAAACCCAGAAAAACAAACTGGCTATGATGGTCATGTGATGAGGATGGGTGTGTGTGTGTGTGTGTGTGTGTGTGTAATTACCCAAGTGTAGTTACAGGATGAGAGCTATGCTCGTGGTGTCCCGTCTTCCCAGTACTCTTTGTTGTATAACGCTTTGAAACTACTGAAGGTTTTGCCCTCCACCACCTTCTCATTTAGTTTGTTCCAACCGTATACCACTCTGTTATGTGTGTTTTTGTGTCTTCTTGAGGTTATCTCGAGATGATTTCAGGGCTTAGCGTCCCCGCGGCCAGGTCCTCGACCAGGCCTTCTTTTTGTTACACACCCCCAGGAAGCAGCCCGTAGCAGCTGTCTAACTCCCAGGTACCTATTTACTGCTAGGTAACGGAGGCATCAGGGTGAAAGAAACATTTTGCCCATTTGTCTTTGCCTCCACCGTGGATCGAACCCGGAACCTCAGGACTACAAATCCGAAGTGCTGTCCATCCAGCTGTCAGGCACCCGTCTGTGTGTATATATTCTGACTGACTTTGAACCACAGGATCAAACTACAAGTCTAACTTAAAAATACCAATCTAATCAAGCCAGCAGCAGCAGCACCTCTCACAGCTAACAAAGGGTGAGGGAGGGAGATAATTATCAGGGGAAAGTGCCAAGCCATTACGACTCTGTAGCACTTGGAAGAGGTCGGGATAAGGATTTGGGATAGGACGGGGAAAAGGAATTATACCCAACCACTTAGACGGCCAGGGATTGAATGCTGACTTTGTATTGTAATTTGTACATACAAGCAGATATCAACAAATTTTTCGATTGGGCAGCAGAAAATAACATGATGTTTAACAGTGATAAATTTCAGGTACTCAGGTATGGCAAAAATGAGGATCTGAAACTTAATACAGGGTACAAAACGCAATCGAATCTGCCCATAGTAGGAAAACAGCATGTAAAGGATTTGGGAATAATGATGTCCGACGATCTAACGTTTAGGAAGCATAACCAAGCAAATATTGCGTCAGCCAGGAAAATGATAGGATGGATTACGAGAACTTTCAAATCCAGGGATCCTATCACAATGGTTGTACTCTTCAAGTCACTTGTGCTGTCCCATCTTGAGTACTGCTCAGTACTCACTTCCCCCTTCAGAGCAGGAGAGATTGCTGAAATAGAGGGAATACAGAACATATACGGCACGCAGAGACGAGATAAAACACCTAAATTATTGGGATCATCTCAAAGCTCTCCAAATGTACTCCTCTAGAAAGGAGATGAGAGAGATACCAAATAATATACACATGGAAAATACTGGAGGGCCAGGTCCCAAATTTACACAGTAAAATAACAACATACTGGAGTGAACGATATGGAAGAAAATGCAGAATAGAACCAGTGAAGAGCAGAGGTGCCATAGGCACAATCAGAGAACACTGTATAAACATCAGAGGTCCGTGGTTGTTCAACGTCCTCCCAGCGAGCATCAGAAATATTGCCGGAACAACCGTGGACATCTTCAAGAGAAAACTGGACTCTATTCCAAGAGAAGTTCCGGACCAACCGGGCTGTGGTGGGTATGTGGGCCTGCAGGCCGCTCCAAGCAACAGCCTGGTGAACCAAACTCTCACAAGTCGAGCGAGCCTGGCCTCGGGCCGGGCTTGGGGAGTAGAAGAACTCCCAGAACTCCGTCAACCAGGTATCAACTAGGTATGACCTGTATGAAGCAAGACCGTCGCTCTTCCATCCAACCCAAGTGGTTGGGCTAACCTAACGGTGAGTGATTCAGAAATAAACAAAGTACCGAACAAAATTATAATGTGCAATATGAAATTGTTTGCCATCAAAATCATAAATATGAGCATTAAAACTACCACCCCTAACAACCTTCCATGGTTTTACCTGTTTGATACCTGCTACCTAACTACCCACAAGCCCTTGTTAATATCAACGTACCAATAACAAATCCTCATGATATTACCTAGAAATGTTTTTGGCCTCCTATAGTTTCCCATCACCTTTGGTCTCTACTATGACTGCTGTCTAGACCTCTTGAGATACTTACCAAGCTCATTACACACCTTAAAAATTTCTGTAAGAGTACTTGTCTCCTTAACTTGACAACTTCCAACTGTGGGTGTTGTCGGGACGGTGGTGGTGGTGGTGGTGGTGCAGTGATAATGGTAGTGTATGGCACTGATGTTGCAGTGGTGGAGGTGCTGTGGTATTAGTAATGGTGGTACTGTGGGGGGGGCGGTACTTTAACGGTGGTGGTGGTACTGTGGGGATGTTTTGTAGCGGTGATGATGGTACTGTCAAGGTATATTGTACTTTGCTGGCTGTGTTTCAGAGATGGTGATCATGGTGGTATTAAGGTGGACTGTCGTACTCACCTGGCTGTGTTGAGGTTCGGCTCCCAAGCCCCTCACAACCACTAGGTATTGCTCCCCCAACAGATTCAAAATCAGTGTCAAAACATTTAATCAAAAGAACATAAAAAGGAGAAAAACCAGTACTGACCCTGTTGAAGCGCTTGGCCTGGAAGATGTGGCCGTTGACCTTGTAGAGCTTGCGCCATCTTCTCGCTCCTCTCCGGTAGATGCTCCCTACAACACAAGCAACAATTAGTAACCTTTCTCTCGCCTCACCAACACAAAACCTCTTATTTTATAGCCAGGAACTTCATTCCAGACTTTCTAACCTACCCCTCATACTTATGAACAGGCATCTTGGCTCAAAGCTTGATCAACCAGGCTGTTGGTACTTTAAGCGTGCAGAGTGACATAGGTGCCAAAGCCCAGCCAGATAAGGTAATTCCCTGTTGTGTTTAAAGATTGGGTATTGAAGTCTTCATTCCTTTATATGCATGAGTTGCTATTAATGCACTTTTTTGCACCTGTCTGTTCATCATAGAGTTGGTGTGAGAGAATCCTGTCTTTCACAATTACTGAAGCAATATGACGATCACAAGCATTAGAAGAAAAACAAAATGCAGATGTTGCCTTTGCAAATTCTATGTGTACATTTGATAAGGGTGACCATGGAAATAGTCCATAAAATGAGATCAATAGGAATAAAGAGTAAAGTGGGGCATTGGATTTTCAATTGTCAAACAGAATGCAAAGAGTAGCACTCAATAAAATGAAATAGAGTCCATGCACAGTGAAAAGGTCTATACCCACGGAACAGTCACAAAAGTGGCACAGAACCACTTTTCTCCTATTCTTATATCATATACAGTGGTACTTTCATTTTCGTAGTTAATCCGTTCCCAGATACGGTACGAAAACCGAAATTAATTTTCCCATAAGAAGTAATGTAAATTTAATTAATCCATTCCACACCCCAAAAATATTAACTTAAAAATACATTTTATACAGAATAATACTCTTAGGTACCTTACCTTTGTGGAGGACTCTTGTTGGCATATGGAAGACTGAGGAAGGGGATTGGGGGGAGGGAAGGAGGAGGAAAGGTGTTAGTGTTTAGAAGGGAAGTCCCCTTCCATTATAACAGCAGTGATGACATTTCTGGGGTGCTCTCTCTCACGTTTTGCAGGCATACCTCTAGGACCTGGTTGTGGCTCACTGCTTGCTTGCCTTACTAAGAATCTGTCTATAGACACTGGTTTTTCTTTACGTTTTAACACTTGTCTGTAGCGAAACATCACATTTGCCTCATTATGAATGATCTCTTATTTTTCCTCTATCATCATCCTCACAACTACTTTCTCATGTTGAACATTACCACCAACTTTCTTGGAACCCATGGCATGATATATAATCAGAACTTTCATGTTCAGAAACAATGAAATTCTTCACAAAGAATCCAAGAGCGATCATCAATAGGCGGAGACTGATAAACTGAAGCACCACGCTCGCGGTAAACCTATACGTGTATAAACAAACTACGACCTCCGAGGCAACTACGACAACCAAATATAGAAATTTACTACGAGAACAGGGGCCTACGAGAACCGAGGTTCTACTGTATAGACAAAAATACAGGTCACAGTTTTCTGTCACCTTTTGTAGATACAGTACTAAAATCAGCATGAAAATTACTTCTACAGACGTCACTAAAATACTACAAGCTCATATCAATAATGTTTTCAAATGGGCAATGGAAAATAGCATAATGTTTAACAGTCATAAGTTGTAGGTATTTGGGCATAGTAGAAATGAAGACTTGAAAGAAACACAGGGTATAGGACAATCAGACCTACACATAGAAAGAAAGACAACATGTAAAAGATCTAGAAATTATAATGTCTGATGACCTGACATTTAGCGAACATAACCATAGCATCAGCCAGGAAAATGATAGGATGGTTGTGATAACATTAAATTCAGGAATGCCACCAGAATGTTAATATTGTACAAGCCCACTTATCTGAAGCCTGCCGATTCAAATATTTGGGTTACCCTGTGAAAATCGCAGCCGGATATTTTTCCGGCAAATCTTCACTGTATCCGAATAGCAATTCAGATAACTGGAGATTTTACCAGATAACACAGACAGGCATAGTGCAATACCATATTAATCCCATACAGCAGTGGCTTGAGGAGCAGAGTACGGGAGTTTTTTATTATTATTATTTTTTTTACTGCAGATATGGCCACACATTTAAAATGCCAACCAGTATATATACATTTATCTCTGTACTTCATGGACAGGGTTAGACATCTGTTAAACAGTGTTCAGTGTTTTATTGAACAATCAACCGCAGAAGGTGATTGCAGTGCTTATAAAATCTTAATCTAACCTACATACAGAAATACTGTACATAAATACACAGATTTACGTCTGCCCTACAGTAGACGTGTTCGATATGTATTTTTTACATAATGTAACTAATATGCATTTACAAAGGTGAAATGCAATTCTGACCAGCTTCCTCATATCCTGTATACACATATATACATACACATACATTTATATCTCTCCTACTTTGACATGGTAAGATAACTGCTATATAAACTAGCGTGTTAATAAGCACCTGGTATGGGAGGTGTTGGGGTAGGGAGTGTCAGGAGAGCGGGAACAGGAGGGAAGGATAAGGACCTATAATCTGTATTGTAACCAAAAATTGTGGTAAACAATTCTTTACAGTAAAAACTAAAGAAATATTATCTAATACTGTATTATAAAAAATATAAATTTCTTGAAAATTGTGTGTACAGACTGTAGTTTCCCACTAAAATTTTGAGACTGTTTTTCTCCCCATATACGTAAGCCTACGTAGGTAGTAGCCTACGGCCTACGTAAAGTGCCTGCCTGCTTCAAGTTGACCCATCCAGGCCATGTGCTCCTGACCCTCACGTTATAGGGAGCCGGTCGGCCGAGCGGACAGCACGTTGAACTTGTGATCCTGTGGTCCCGGGTTCGATCCCGGGTGCCGGCGAGAAACAATGGGCAGAGTTTCTTTCACCCTATGCCCCTGTTACCTAGCAGTAAAATAGGTACCTGGGAGTTAGTCAGCTGTCACGGGCTGCTTCCTGGGGGTGGAGGCCTGGGACCAGATTCACGAAAGCACTTACGCAAGCACTTACGAACGTGTACATCTTTCCTCAATCTTTTACGGCTTTGGTTACATTTATTAAACAGTTTACAAGGATGAAAACTTGCCAATCAACTGTTGTTATTGTTATAAACAGCCTCCTGGTGCTTCGGAGCTCATTAACTGTTCAATAATTGGAAGCAAAGCCACCAAAGATTGAGAAAAGATGTACAGGTTCATAAGTGCTTGCGTAAGTGCTTTCATGAATCTGGCCCCTGGTCGAGGACCGGGCCGCGGGGACACTAAAGCCCCGAAGTCATCTCAAGATAACCTCAAGATATACCCCAGTGCCACACCATTAGTCAAACATTTTTTTTAAACAAATCCTTTGTTTTCATATAAACTTTTAACGTTTCTTGCGACGACTATGTCTGGCAGCAGCAACAATTGTCGTGGAGGCCATTAAGAGGAAGAAGGTTATGCTGACATCACCACAGGCAACCAAACACAGTTTACTCATGTCTTCTGTTGACATACTAATTTTTCATCCAATTGTGCTAATCCAGAATTTAGAAATGTGTATCAATACTTGAGGTGAGCCAAAGAGCTGATCATAAGAGAGGCCAATGAACACACGAGGCAAACAAAACTCGCTTCTTACTTGATAAAAACAGCAAGCCAAGGCCCTTCAACCAATGAAGCTTCAGCAGCTGGCAGTCAAAACCGACTTTGCTAAGCTCATGTACTGTACAGTAACTTTAGTGTTATGTTAAGTTAGGTTATGTAAATTTTCAGGGATTATTGATCTGAAGATACTGAACAGTACTGTATGCAGCATCAATCAAGATGACACAACTATAACAAGGTAAGCTGAAGTTTCTGTTTTAAATTACAGTACTGTATTGGTACAGCATATTTTTTTAATTATAGTGTGTGTAAATTCAAATTACAGTATGTCGATTGTATGTCACAAAATGACGAATATGTTCACTTTTGGACTTCAGCAGTAAAAATTCTGCTTATCCACATATCTGGCTTATCCGGCAGGGGGTACTTTCATATAATTCTGATAAGTGAGCTTAGACAGTACTAGTTAAATCACTGGTGCTGTCCCACCTTGAGTACTGCCCGGTAAGCACTTCCCCTTTCAAGGGAAAAGACACTGCTGAAATAGAGGGAATACTGAGAACATAAACGGCATGCATAGAAACGATAAAGCATCTAAATTATTGGGACTGTTTGAAAGCTCTCAAACGTACTCTTGGGAAAGGAGATGAGAGGTATCAATAATATATACATGGAAGATACTGGAAGGCCAGGTCCCAAATTTGCACAGTAAAACAATATGGAAGGAAATGTAGACTGATCCAGTGAGGAGACGAGGTGTCATACACAATCAGTGACCACTGAATGAGTATCAGAGGTTCACAGCTGTTCAATACTGTCCCTGTAAGCATACAAAATATTGCTGGAACAAAGATTGATATCTTCAAGAAGCAATCAGAGAAGTGCATGCAAGAAGTGCCAAATCAACTGGGTTACGGTGGGTATGTGGACTTGCAGGCCACCCAATCAACAGCCTGTTGGACCAAGTTATCACAAGTCAAGTCTGGCCCCAGGCCAGGCTTAATGAAAACAGCTCCCAGAACCCTTACCAGGTAAATTCTAGGTAAACATATATGTCTCCTGCTCTCTTTCGGGAATGTTTTCACCATTTATATGAGCCAATTCCTAAAGAATCTTTCAGCTGTAAATTGTGATAAATGTTTCTTTTGTATATTCCAGAAAATAGTACAAATGCTTTTGTTCATTAGTAGTTGTTTAAGTGCTTGAGTGAGTGAATGTAGCTGCGATGTGGTCTGTACAAATTCCACAATTGTAGCAGGACTTAATACACAGCAATATTCCAGTTACTAGAGTACAAGTACACTGACAATTATAATACCTCTGGAGACATTAAACAACTACAGTTTTAACTGTATACACTATTTAATGAATACATCTTTTAAATGATACGAGACCATACCTTGATATTAGTAAATAATTAATAACAGCTGTACATGATGGAATGCATTACTGAGACTGGTAAGAAAAACAAGTAAATGTAACATTGTTCACAAATAGACCATGGCATCAAACACTTATTATTTTTGGACATAGTCTTGTAAAACAGAAGATGCAAGACAAAGTCACAGTTTTGAAGGGAGGTGAAAGAGAGTTGCGGATGTAGGAAGGGAAGGAGAGGGAGTGAGGAAGATGGAGGGAGGGGAAAAAGGACATTAAGGAGAGGGAGAGGAAGGTAAGGAAAGGGAAGACGATAGAAATGAGAGAAGTCTACCTAAGTATTACAAGAGTAAAGGTGGTATGGTATCTGTCCAAGTGTATAGGAAAAAGTCAGGAAAAGGACTCTCCTATTTCAAAAGGAATTGATGAAGTGTGAATAACTAAAAAGAGTGTAACTAATAGGGTGTGTGTGTGTAGATTATAGGGGTCAGACTACTGCTCCATGGCAGTTAATCTCTCAAGTGATCATCTCCCTAGGTGTTGTCTGGAGTGCAATACCAAGACATTACCAGTATCATCATAAGGGCCGTGAAGATTGCTGGGCTGGAAGCGGAAGATGTTGGTGAATGAGTGGAAGAGAACATTTTTGTTATGGGGTTGGATGGGTGACCAGTATTTCTGTGCTGGCATGGACATGGAAGGGTTTTCCCCAGGGCCTGCCCAAGAGGATGGACGGTGTCTTACACTCGGACACTCCTCTCCTGTCACGGGCACTGCACGTGTCCTCATACCAACAAGGCCACTCTTAACACTTGGCCTTCTGGCTAACTTGAAGTCGAGGTTGGTACAGCTGCTGGGCCTCTGAGGTCGGCCTAACTGGGGATGATGGCGACGAGGTGTGGGCATCTTTCCTTGTGGCTGCTGCACACCTCCCTCGGCTGCTGTCTCCAGATCTAGGCTGGAGCCGACACTATTCTCTGGGCACCCAGCCTCCCCATCTGCACTACCACCACATATGTTCGTCAGGTCAAGGGCAGATGGTGGTAAGGTGGCAAGTGGTGTGGCAGGAGTCGAACTGGGATCTTCATGGGTGCATGATGGGCAGGAATGTATGGTGGAGGTTTGGGTGGCCTCACAGTTCACCGTCTTGGGACTATTACAAGAGTCCCCTGCATCACTCCTCTCCTTCCACACTCCACCATCACCTGTATTGTTGTTCCCTGATAGTTTCAGTTTCCTCACCGACATCAATGACTTTGAGAGACTTCGCCATCTTTCTCGTCTCACCTTTACAAGACTAGACTCTTTGCGTGATATAGGCTCAACAACTTGGCTGTTTCTAGATGTATGGATAAATTCAGCGGACTTCCGCTTTTGGGTTGCGAGCCCGTTGGGGTCATCTGGAGCAACACAACTTAAAAAAAGAGCCGAGCGTGGTCTTGGTCTGAGAGGTGTGACAGTCGTGTCAGGTATCGGTGGTATGAGTGACTCTTCATGCGTGTCCACCTTCACCTGCCCATTACAACTCTCGGGGCAAATCTTGCCCTCCCTGGATACACTCATCCTCACCAACACTGCTTCATGCTCATGATCCAACTTGTCCTCTCAACTAATAGGTCACATTTTTTTAAGTTATGATAACATTACAAATGCAACCTATAATTACAAGTAATGGCTCACAAATATATGTTTTCTATGCATCTGACTCTATAGGTTAGATGGGTTGCTTCAGTTCATATGTTCCTTGTTAGGTTACAAGGTTGGATATTTCTTTTACAGAGTAGCATATCATGAGAGCAGGCTGCATCAATACCACCACTGATATTCACCTTAAAATTCTTTCGTCAAATATGGCGTTCCTTTAAACAAACTTTCCTGAAAACGCAGTATGGTTACAAAGGTTTCTGGCACACTGTAAAGTTGCACAATTTTGAGTTTTTGTGTAATGGCAGCAAGGTCGCATTCAAAAGTCTTTAGTACATTATATCCAGGTATTGTTGAACTGGAGTCCCCTTTGTCACATCCTGGCATTAGCAGCCAACTGTACCAATGTCACTCACTATCACATCTGCTAGGGTTAGCCACCAACATGGTAGGCATTGTATACATTTGCAGTCACCTTGTATTATCTCGTACCAAGAGAACCACACGCAGGCGACACGACAACACACTAGTTGTTGTACTTGACTGCAACAGCCGAGCCCCACACTGAACACTGTTCCGGTGGTGAAGAGACCATGAGATAAGGAACAGGGATTATTTGAGCTTGAATCACCTGACTCATTTCTTGTTATCTGAGACTGTCAGAGGATATTCAGTTATTGACAGCACTTAGGCCATATAAAATAAGGTTATATTAAAGCAGTCAAGAAGAAAGAGCCTTCCCTCTCTTACTGGTGTGTTATCACTTGTGTTAACGAGAGACAGAGCTTTATCTGACATCCCCCACTTCACCATTATAATTGTTTGGGCTGACTGGATACGTGTACTTGCTGCAGAGTAAGCATCAGCTCCTGGGCCCTGCCTTTCAATTGCCAAACACACATTTGATTACCTCCAGACCCTCTTTTTAAACTACTGTACTTTCCATATAGAGTAAACTTAACTATGTGCCCTTTCAGCTAATTACATTGACTTACTACTGTTACACTAAAGAGCCTTCTTATATTGCTATGGCAATCTCTAGTTCCACTTATGTCCTCACAATCTCCTCACTGCTCATGCTAAGTATTTAGGTTTCTTGTCCACAATGCCCCAAAAAAGAATTATTGTGAAAAGTTGCCTCGTATTTTTCCCAGTGGGTATGTCTAGTTCACACAGACTGTCCTCATTGCTCAGTACCTGTTGCAATCTCATTTCTTATGGATTATAGCTGTCCCTTTATCTTTCATTAACCATAGTGATGCCAGCATGTGTACATGCATGAGAAAGTAAACGAGAAGAGGTGTCAAGATATCTTATCGCAGTGTGATTCAGGTGACATTACTGATAAGAATTAAAAGGGAGGGAGGGAGAGGGGGTTACGGTTCTATCCCGACCAGCCTATGTCTATCCCATCGGAGGGGTGCTGGAGGGAGGGAGGGAGGGAGGGTGTAGGCAGATGACAGGAGAGTGGGCGGGAGTGGGTTTAGGAACAAAGTGAGCAACAAATGCCCTATTTATCCACAAGAGAAAATGCCTTTTCATGTTTAACCTTCACTTTAAACACTCCAGAGACCCCAAGTCTGTTATATTACCTGGTAATGTATTCCATAAATCATCTCCCAAATCAATTTTTACTCGGGTCCTTTCCGAATCTTCCAGTGTGTTATATTTTGTGTCAATACTTTAAACATGCTTTATTCTTTGCAATACTGGAGGGTAAATAAGCTTTTAGTTCCTTACTTTATTGAAAGATCCCAGTATCAAGAGATTACCTTGGACATTCTTCTCTATACACTTTCTTAAGGACCCACGTTCATCATACATCTCGGTGCCCAAAAGTGAAGTACATAATATAAAGGGGACCTAAAATGGGGATGATAAAGCAGAAGAATAACACTGTTTCAATATTAACACTTCTACTTATGACCCATTATATCCTATCTGTCTAATTCCAAACATTATTAAACTGATTTCTTGGCCTAAACAAATTTGCCAATGACACTGCTTGATACCTGCTTGATGGGGTTCTGGGCATTCTTCTATTCTCCAAGCCCGGCCCGAGGCCAGGCTTGACTTGTGAGAGTTTGGTCCACCAGGCTGTTGCTTGGAGCGGCCCGCAGGCCCACTTACCCACCACACCACAGCCCGGTTGGTCCGGAACTTTTTAGAAAACAGTGTTTTCTCTTGAAGATGCCCACAGTTGTTCCAGCAATATTTCTTATAGTCGCTGGGAGGACGTTGAACAACCGCGGACCTCTGATGTTTATACAGTGTTCTCTGATTGTGCCTATGGCACCTCTGCTCTTCACTGGTTCTATTCTGCTTTTTCTTCCATATCGTTCACTCAAGTACGTTGTTATTTTACTATGTAGATTAGGGGCCTGGCCCTCCAGTATTTTCCATGTGTATATTGTTTGGTATCTCTCTCATCTCCTTTCTATTGAGTACATTTGGAGAGCTTTGAGACGATCCCAATAATTTAGGTGCTTTATCGCATCTATGCGTGCCGTATATGTTCTCTGTATTCCCTCTATTTCAGCAATCTCTCCTGCTCTGAAGGGGGACGTGAGTACTGAGCAGTACTCGAGATGCGACAACACACGTGACTTTAAGAGTACAACCATTGTGATGGGATCCCTGGATTTGAAAGTTCTCGTAATCCATCCTATCATTTTTCTGGCTGGCGCAATATTTGCTTGGTTATGCTCTCTAAACGTTAGATCGTCGGACATCATTATTTCCAAATCTTTGACCTGCTATTTTCCTATTATGGCAGATTTGATTGTGCTTTGTACCCTGTATTATGTTTCAGATCCTCAATTTTGCCGTATCTAAGTACCTGGAAATTATCACTGTAAAATATCATGTTATTTTCTGTTGCCCAATCAAAATCTCTGTTGATATCTGCTTGTTATTTTTCGATGTCTTCGGCAGAGGTAATTTTCATGCTGATTTTTGTGTTATGTGCAAAGGATGACACGAAGCTGTGACTTGTATTTTTGCCTATATCTGATATGAGAATAAGGAACAGCAGTGGAGCAAAGACCTTTAGGTACAGCGCTTTTAACTGTGCTTGGACTATTATATTTGATTGACTATTATTCTTTGTGTTCTGTTCGACATGAAATTGAGTATCCAGCATCCTACTTTACCAGTTATTCCCATTGACCTCATTTTGTGTGCTATCACTCCATACCTTGAGGTGCTTCCGGGGCTCAGCGTCCCTGCGGCTCAGTCGTCGCCCAGGCCTCCTGGTTGCTGGACTGATCAACCAGGCTGTTGGACGCAGCTGCTTGCAGCCAGCCTGATGTACGAATCACAGCCTGACGTACGAATTACAGCCTGGTTGATCAGGTATCCTTTGGAGGAGATAGTCACGGATGCGTGAAGAGATGCTTCGGATCCATGGTCACATTTGTTGAATGCCTTTGCAAAGTCTGTGTATAGAACATCTGCATTTTGCTTTTCTTCTAGAGCTTGTGTGTTTTTGTCACAGTGGTTGAGTAACTGACAGACAGGATCTTTCCGCTCTAAATCCATGTTGTCTTGGGTTGTGTAGCTCATTATTTTCCATTCAACTATAAATTTGATTCCTAATCACTCTTTCAAAAACTTTTATTATGTGAGATGTTAGTGCAACTGACAGCTGGGAGGACAGAGCTTCGGATTTGTAGTTCCGGGTTTGATCCCCGGTGGAGGCGGAGACAAGTGGCCAAAATGTTTCTTTCACCCTGATGTCCCTGTTACCTAGCAGTAAATAGGTACCTGGGTGGTAGACAGCTGCTAAGGGCTGCTTCCTGGGGATGTGTAACGAAAAGGAGCCTTGGTCGAGGACTGGGCCGCAGGGAGTCTAAGCCCCGAAATCATCAAGATAGCCTTAAGAAGATAACTGGTCTATAATTGTTTGCCAAATCTTTACTCCCCCCCTTGTGCAGAGGAGCTATATCTGCAGATTTAAATGATGCTTGTATCTCACCTGTATCCAGGCTCTTTCTCCAAATTACCCTGAGCACTTGCACTACTGGTACTTTACATTTCTTTATGAATACAGTATTGAATTCAAAGTGTCAGGAATTCAGGCTGAGTGAATGGGTATATTGTCAATTTCTCTTTCAAAGTCCTCCGAGTTCGTGTTAATAACCGTTATATTATCTGCAGCTTGAATGTTATTCATAAAGAAGCTGTCTGGGTCATCAACTTTCATGTTGTACCTGGTTGATGGGGTTCTGGGAGTTCTTCTACTGCCCAAGCCCGGCCCGAGGCCAGGCTTGACTGTTGAGAGTTTGGTCCACCAGGCTGTTGCTTGGAGCGGCCCGCAGGCCCAACCGCAGCCCGGTTGGTTGTTTATTGGTGTGCTAAACAATAGCTTCATACTGACTTCTTAGAATTTCACTTATTTCTTTGTTGTCCTCCATGTACGAACATTTAGTTATTAATTAAAGGTCAAATACTGCCAGAGGTTTTTGATTTTGATTTTGCATATGTGAAATTTTGTTAGGATTTTTCTCTCTCTCTTGTACAGCTTTCTGTTCCAATTCAATTTCCTCAGACTGGTATGATCGCTTCACCGTTTGCTCTATTTCTTCAGTCTCCCGGTTAAGGTTTATTTTCCTTTCTTGTGGTAGTCGTATCTGCTTAAGTATTTGTTATTTTGTCCATTATTTTTGTCCTCTGTACAGGAGAAGGAACCTGTACACTTTTTTTGGAGTGGTCCTCTTTCTGACCCTCCTCACAGTCATGTGATTCAAGCAGATCTTCAAGCACCACAAGCAGCACAATGGGGAGGGGGGGGGAACAAGAGCGGGAGGGGGGGGGGGGGAACAAGAGCGAGAGGGGAGGGGGGGAACAAGAGCGGGAGGGGAGGAGGGGGACAAGAGCGGGAGGGGGGAACAAGAGCGGGAGGGGAGGGGGGGAACAAGAGCGAGAGGGGAGGGGGGGGAACAAGAGCGAGAGGGGGGAGAGCGGGAGGGGGGGAGCGGGAGGGGAGGGGGGGAACAAGAGCGAGAGGGGAGGGGGGGAACAAGAGCGAGAGGGGAGGGGGGGGGGGGAACAAGAGCGAGAGGGGAGGGGGGGAACAAGAGCGAGAGGGGAGGGGGGGAACAAGAGCGAGAGGGGAGGGGGGGGAGGGGGAAACAAGAGCGAGAGGGGAGGGGGGGGAACAAGAGCGAGAGGGGAGGGGGGGAACAAGAGCGAGAGGGGAGGGGGGGGGAACAAGAGCGAGAGGGGAGGGGGGGGAACAAGAGCGAGAGGGGAGGGGGGGGAACAAGAGCGAGAGGGGAGGGGGGGGGGGAGGGGAACAAGAGCGGGAGGGGGGGGGGGGAGCGGGAGGGGGGGGGGGAACAAGAGCGAGAGGGGAGGGGGGGGGGGGAACAAGAGCGGGAGGGGAGGGGGGGAACAAGAGCGGGAGGGGAGGGGGGGAACAAGAGCGGGAGGGGAGGGGGGGGGAACAAGAGCGGGAGGGGAGGGGGGGAACAACAAGAGCGGGAGGGGAGGGGGGGGGGGGGGGGGGGGGGAACAAGAGCGGGAGGGGAGGGGGGGGAACAAGAGCGGGAGGGGAGGGGGGGGGAACAAGAGCGGGAGGGGAGCAAGGGAGGGGGGGGAACAAGAGCGGGAGGGGGGGGGGGAACAAGAGAGGGGGGAGGGGGAGCGGGAGGGGAGGGGGGGAACAAGAGCGGGGGGGGAGGGGGGGGGGGGAACAAGAGCGGGAGGGGAGGGGGGGAACAAGAGCGGGAGGGGAGGGGGGGGAACAGAGCGGGAGGGGAGGGGGGAACAAG